CTATGTTATTTAATATTTTTAATACTAATTTTACATTTCATAGTGTTTTTATGCATTTTTATATTTATTCTAAAATAATAACTAAAGGCAGTAACAATTTGAACAATATTCTGGAAACAGTTTACAATAAGGTTTCATTGGTTTACTTTAGTTAACATGAACTAAGAATAAACAATAGCCTACTTCTACAGCATTTATTAATCTTAGTTAATATTAATTTCAACATTTACTAATGCATTATTAAAATCAAACGTTGTTTGTTAACATTAGTTTATGCACTGTGAACTAACAATGAACAACTGTATTTGTATTAACTAATGTAAACAAAGATGAATAAATACTGTAATAAATGTTCATTGTTTGTTCATGTTAGTCAACTCATTAAATTACACCTTATTGTAAAATGTTACCAATATTTTTTATTTGTGAACTGATGTTCAGCTGTTCTTTTTAATAGTCAACTTATTTTCGGGTCATCATCATAAAATCTCTGTAAACACTGCAACAGACACGAAGATATATCTTTCATTTCATCAAGCTGAACGCTCACTAAAAACTGATGCAGTCATTACGTTTTCGGACCATTTCAAGTTTTATTTTGACGTGACACAAAGTAGTGGTATCTAAGCAGGAGAGTTGTTTACTTACTTTATAATTAGTCAATAACGCCATCATTGCCTCCTCTCACGTGACTTTCTCCCATTCATCTCAATGAGCCTGCAGAAAAGTCACAGCACGCTTTATTTAGGATCTCTGTAGAAAGTCTATGGAGCGAAGGGAGGCAAGCCTCCGCTGTAACTTTACCTGCGGGTGTAAATGTGTTTCTTGCCTCCTAAATTAAACACTGTGGTCACTTTTATTCAGCCCTTTAAAAAAAATCGGTTTACATTTTTATATGCAGCTGTTAACCTGGACGAAAAGTGGTACTGTAGATTCAGCTCAACTTATGTCAAATGGTGAGGCAAAACACCTAACTCCGCTCCCACCACGAGGAAAAACAAAGATCAGTTGCAGAATGAGAGCAAGAGGGCATCGGAGAGAGGGACGGGCAGGTTTGAGGACGTAAGCTGAGCTGCTGTTGTTCAATACTCCGAGACTTCTGGCTATATTTGGACGTCTCCCCTGAGATCTGGTCTGTGCCAAGTTGGGCCCTTTCCCCCCTCCTTTTCCCGTTTTCCGTCAATCCCTGACTAATAATACCAACTTTTCCACATGACGAGGAAGAACGCATACTTGACGTGTGAGGATTTCAAACGCACGTGCCAGCGCTGCCTCTTTTATATCTCTCTTCTGTTGTTCCTGTTGGCCGTTCGGCGTTCTAGCGTGTGAAACGCCTCGGCCAAGTCGTGGAGAGACAGCATATGCCCATCTCTGCCTCTCTCTCTTTCTCTCATCCTGACGTGTGTCTTCCTTCGCCCAGCGGCCACCTGTGAGTCTTCCTGTGTCCCCTTTCTGCCGCTGCTCCGCTAACGTTAGAGCTGATCTCCAGCTCCTCGCCAACGGGACGGGTAAAGGGCTAATGGCCACAATCAGCGCTGACGACTGCGGCTACTGCTAAAGGATGCCCTCCAGGCAGTTATATTCATTTGATAACAAAGCAGCTGTATTAAAATAGATTTGAACTTTTCTGAAGAAAACATAAAAAGTTTTGCTCATTAAAAAACACTGGGTGAACGTAAACCACCATAGACATTAAGGGGGGCAGTGATTAGAAATGGCCTGACAAAAAGGTTTTAAAACTGACATTTTAGGCAGGTCTGCCTCAGCTGTCAGCGCTCGTCAATATCAAAATGATTGAGATGGCCAATCAAATCAAAGTAGGCGGGGTTTACCGTTCACGGAAGCAGAGCGCGAATCAGCGTGAAAAATACGGAAGTCGCGAAACAATTCATATTTGACGACTGTTTTACAACTGAAATGTTAAACGAACAACAGTAATATCCATGCAAAATTATGCAAAAATCTCAAATATGGCCGGTTTGAATTGAAAGTTCAGTAGACTATCATTTACTAGATTTATGTAGGCTAATTCCTAGCTGAATGTGTCGATATAAGAAACGTTCCGTTTTCGACTTATTAGGCATACAAAAGTGCATGTGTGCATATTTTAAAATATTATTTGCTAATAGTGCAATATATATATACCGCTCAGTATTGTAGTACATTATAAAACAGTATGCAATAATAACATGTTGAGTGTAAATTATAATTTTAATTCAAATTATTAAATGGATGCCACCTTATTTGGACAATAAAGCCCTCCCTACACCTACCCTAACCCTACCAAACACTTTATTTTCAACTTTTTTATTTATTTCCTTTATTTTTATTGAAAAGAAATGCCTTTCTGATGTGATATGAGATTTGAAAAGGGAGAAAAAAAAGTTCGGTAAAAGGCGGAGGGTTGATCGCGTCAAAAAGACAACGGAACGTGCTTTACCATCTACGCCACGGAAGCTGATGATTTTCTATTGTTTTTATAGTTGTGTATCGCTACTGTAAATGGCCTCTGCCAATAAGGCGGGCTATTTGCACTTAGTGTAAATAATAGACACTCTGTTTTTTTTTTAAAGGGGTCATATGATGCGATTTCAAGTTTTCCTTTCTCTTTGGAGTGTTACAAGCTGTTCGTGA